AAATTTGTGAAAATTGTTATAGTTCAACATGGAGACATTAAGTCCTTATCTGAGGGTTTACTAAGCTGTTGTTGCTCGTTGAGTCTTCTGTGCCACTGTTTTTATTACTCAATTTTTTTTTTTTTGGCTTTTTGGGTCACACCCAGTGATGCTCAGGAGTTATTCCTGGCGGTGCACAGGGGATCATATGGGATGCTGGGAATTGAACCCCTGTTGGCACTGTGCAAGGCAAATGCCCTATCCCTGTGCTATTGCTACAGCCCATTATTACTCAATCTTAATTGGCTTCTACATTACACTCCCATCCAATCTGCTGTGCTCCTATTGGGATGTTAGCGCTGCAGAGTCTGGAGCTCTCACTCCAGAAACTCCAGAATATTTAACTGCGCAGTGAGCTTCCGTGGAAGTGGTTGTGGGATGTGGGTGTGGCTCCCAGGGCTTTGGGAAGTAAGGAGAGTATGGGGGTAGAAGTTGCCCACCCCAGCTCTGAGAGGGCCTAGAGTTCTCAGCCCAAACAAACAAGCAAACAAGCAAACAAACAATAACAATGGCAGTTTGGCGGCTGCAGTACTCAGAGGCATTAGGGTCTGGCCACAGGCATGGTGGCAGCTGTTGGGATGTGATTGCAGCTGCCAGGGCTTCTGCGGGGAGGGGGGCGGACCTGGCCCGCTCCTGCTGAGGTGGCTCTGGAGTTCTCAGTTGTGTCAGAGCAACTTTTTCAGCTAGTTGCTCTCTTCCGAGATCGCGAATCTGCGAATCTGGGCCATATATGAGCTTTCCTGGAAGTGGTTGTGGGATGTGGGTATGGCTGCAGGGGTTTCCGGAAACAAGGGGGTTGGAGGGGTGGAGGGGTGGAGGTGGGGGTGAGAGAGGTTGAGACAGGCATATTAAATATTTTGCTTTCAGTTTTGTTGATTCTGTGACTTGCTCAGATACATAGGTACACCTCAGTACTACACCAGCAATGTGTCTGAGGCCCTTGCCCCCTACCTGTCAGCTATTGTCTGTCTCTCTCTCTTTTTTTTTTTTAAATGTAGGAGTACTACTATTTATTCAGCCACCGATTAGCTGATTGAATTGTGCATGAACTCCACCTTACTTTTTTTTCATTTTTTATAATTTTATTTATTGAATCACCGTGAAAGCAGTTACAAAGTTTTCGGGCCTAAGTCTCGGTCATACAATGAAACACCCGTACCTTCACCAGTGCCCATTCTCCACCACCAAAAACCCCAGTATACTCCCATTCCACACCCTCCCCCTGCCTGTGGGGCAGATGATTTCCACATTACTCTTTCTCTACTTTGAACACATTCAATATTTTGACACCAGACCCATAACCCAACACTAGGATCTGCTGAAAAAGCAACAGCAGACAATTTGTGTTCTATTGCTGGTTATGAATAACATATGATGTTGTGTGGCTGCATTAGGGCCATGTGATTTTGAAATTCCGAAATTTTAACACTTAAATCTGGAGGGATTTCTGCCAAAAGCTACTGGGTTTTGAGATTTGCTCCTGAGTCTCTGGGATCATGGCCATTGAGCAGCTTGATCAGGAGCCAGGGAGGCCGTTCATGGGCGATGACTTGGGGTCTCGTTGGGGTGGGGAGGACAGGCCTGGCTCCACCCCCATCCCGTGAGGCCCAACAAGTTTAATCACTGCAGGCCCAAGCCTGACTGTCCAATGGCCTCTGGAGGATGATGGCCACTATGCCGCCAGGGAGAAGCAGGTGGAGGGACAACACCCTTTCCCCCTGGGGTGGCCTGGTGATAGTAACGTACTATGGGATCCGGACGCATTTCTGCGAAAAGCTGCTGGGTTTCGAGATTTGTTTCTGAGTCTCTGGGATCATGCCCGTTAAGCAGCTTGATCAGGGGCCAGAGAGGCCATTCGTGGGCGATGACTTGGGGTCTTGTTGGGATGGGGAAGGCCTGGCTCCCCCACCCCACCCCATCCCGTAAGGCCCAAAATGTCTTGTCACTGCGGGCCCAGACCTGACTGTCCAATGGCCTCTAGAGGATGACGGCCACTGAGCCACCAAGGGGAAGCAGGTGGAGTGACAACACCCTTTCCCCCTGGGGTGGCCCGGCGACAGTAACGTACTGTGGGGTCCGGACACATTTCTACCAAAAGCCACTGGGTTTTGAGATTTCTTTCTGAGTCTCTGGGATCATAGCCAGAGACTGAGATTAAACAGCTTGATCAGAAGCCAGAGAGGCCGTTTGTGGTCGATGACTTAGGGTCTCATTGGGTGGGGAGGTCAGGACCGGCTCCACCCCCATCCCGTGAGGCCCTGCGTGTCTCATCACTGGGGGCCCAAACCTGACTGTCCAGTGGCCTCTGAAGGATGGTGGTCACTGGGCCGCCAGGGGGAACAGGCCATGGCACAAAACCTATTCCCACCTGGATTGGCCCAGAACCGGTGACCTACTGCAGAGACCAGACGCATTTCTGCCAAAAGCCACTGGGTTTAGAGATTTGTTTCTGAGTCTCTGGGATCATGGCCGTTAAGCAGTTCAATCAGGAACCAGAGAGGCCATGCCTCCAATTATATAGCGGAGCTGGAGGTGGTTTGTGGGTGTGTTTCCCACATACCTAATTTTGGTCGTTTACTTTCTTGGTAAACTTTGCCCCAAGTTTTTGGGGTCTGGCCAAAGGCACAGCAGCAATTTTGGGGTATCTGGAAGTCTGAAGGTGCCATGAGGCTGCTGATGCACTCGCCTCACAGGTACAGATAGACCTGCTGGCGGCACCATACCCCCTGTCTGTCTCTTTTCACTTCCTCTGTCTCAGCTTCTTTACTTTCCTGTCCTTCAGTTCTGTACTCTAGGGATCAGGTTGATTTAAGTATTTCCGCCTTTGATAGCTTGCATTTTTATCCATTTATTTTATCACAGAAAAGTGAGAATACCTGGTATTTGTCTTTCTTCTGCTGACTTACTTTGTTTAATGTAGTATCTCCCAGGTGCATCCAATGTGCAGCAAATTGCATGTCATCCTTCCTTATAGCTGCATAGTATTCCATTGTGTATATACCATACTTTCATGGTCCACTTATCTAGGTTTATTCCATGATAGCTATTGTTCTAAGTGCTGCATTTAATAATGGTGTGCATATGTTGGATGCATGTTTCTGTGTCCTGGGGGTAGATACAAGAAGTGAAATTGCTGGGATATATGGTAACACTACTTTTACTTTTCAGAGAAATCTCCACACTGTTTTCCATAAGGGTTGAACCAGACAACATTTCCACTGGCAGTGATTAAGTTTCCTTTCTCATTACATTTCCACCAACACAAATGGTTTTCAGTTTTTTCTTTTTTCAATATGGCTGCTGGTTTGAAATGATATTTTATTGTCTTGTATTTCTCTGACAAGTGGTGATGAGCACCGTTTCATTTGCATATTGTCCATTCGCCTGTCTTCAGAGAAGCATCTGTTCATTTCCTCTCCCCATTTTTTTTTTGTTAGGGGATTTGGTTTTCTCGTTGATTTTGAGAATTTTTTATATATCTTGGATATTAAACCTGTGTTTTGAGTGAAAATAAATTCTCTCATATGTGTCTTTTGGTTTTAGCTTGTGTGTGTGTGTGTGTGTGTGTGTGTGTGTGTGTGTGTGTGTGTGTTTCGCTTTGCAGTAACTCTATACTTTGTTATAATCCCATTTGTTTATTTTTGTTTCTCTTGCCTTTGCCAATAGAATCAGATCATTGTAAACACCTTTGAGGTTCAAATCTTGTAACAGAACAGACTACATTGCAGCACTGTAGGTTGAAAAGTAACATGCATTTGTCACTTAATGTGAACTCATTCTTGTTACTTCCATTTCTAATATTATTCCCCAAATTATTAGCTGCTACTGATGCAACTTTTATTATTTTATGTTGTTTGACTTGGTTGTGCAACTTTGTTTTCTACTTAAAATGGCAATCCACTGATCAAAACTAAGTATGAGGGAGGACATGGAAAGGGGGCCAGGAAAACAGGGGCAAGGAGGACTGGTCAATGGTAGAGAAGAGAGGGTTATTTATTTATTTATTTATTTATTGGTTTTTGAGTCACACCTGGCGATGCACAGGGGTTACTCCTGGCTCATGCACTAAGAAATTACTCCTGGTGGTGCTCAGGGGACCATATGGGATCTGGAAATTGAACCCAGGTTGGCCGCATGCAAGGCAAATGCCCTATCTGCTGTGATATCGCTCCAGCCCTTCACTTAGTAATTTATCAAGACAAATGACATAACTTATGTTTTATAAAGTAGAGCCTTGACAGCGATATGCAAACTCTTGGATGTTTTAATTATGACTTCAAGAAAAATATTATTGAAAGGTTAAAAATCTTTATAGATAGAAAAATGCTTTTAATTCAAAGACAGAAAGTTCAAAGTTTTCCTTAAGATAAATTTGTGAGGTTTCTAATGATTTTTCTGGAACCATAGTCAATGAAATCATTATGATTACAGTATTTTTTTTTTCTGGTACAGCTTTTCTGATTTCAAGACAAAACAAGATTAAAATATTCAAACTAAGAAATATTTCTCCCAAGAAAATTCTGTACTATTTGAATGATTCTCTTCTTAGCTGTGCTAAAATGCTTGATGGGGTTATTTTTAACCAGGGGCAGAACATTCATTCTGGAAAATGTTCAGATCCCTAATTTTACAATGAGCAGAAATAGATACTTTTGATGGACTGCGGTTGCAGAGTCCCCATCAACACTTAGGTACAGAGTCATCAACAAACAGTGTTACAGTTTTTAGGCAAGAAAGCACTCTGAATGCTATGGATGATATCATGGATCACCTATATAAATGCTGGAAGAAACAGGATTATTGATATTTAGTGAGTCTGATTTTTATTCATGCAAATGTTTTCATTAACAATGAATCTCACGATACCAAATATATTCTATTGATTTTATTATTTGTTATTAGTTTTACTAGACAATGTTAGCCATGTTATATAATTAAAAAACACTAAAATTCTTGGAACATTACATCCTATTAGCTGATACAAACTAAACCAGTCTTTCATTAAAACAGTGAATTTTCAAGTTCCACAAAGGTAAGTAATTTATATTCCAAACACAACAATCACTTCTGAATTAATTATTCACTACATGTCATAGAGTCCTATTAACTGCATGTACTTAGAGTTTTTTTTTAGCACAAAGCTACTAAAAATACGAAAGCATCCGTAGTCTAATACTTATGGGACACTAGAGGTGCGTGTCAGCAATGGGTATTCTTCTTAGTTCTACGATCTGGGAGTCAGTTAAGGTGCCTCCTTCCTGGCTGCCTTGACCAGATTCATTATCACTAACACTGAGACCAGCACCTGTAACAGAAAAAAAAAATAGAAAACACCTGATTATAATTGCAATGAATTAAAAGTCAAGTTAGATTTATTAAAACATGTTTAGTAAGAAATAAGTCTTTAATTTGTGGTATATAAGTAGTAGAAGAATAATATCCATGGCTAGGGAAGACAGGGGCTAGGAGGACCAGTCAATGGTTGGAACTAACCACAAGTGTGTGTGGGACTGATGGCATATAAGATAGAGAAGAGACCAGCATGACAATAATAGCTAGGAATGATCACGCTGGAAAAGATCTGAGGATTAAAAGCAGGTGAAGGCTAATCTGGATAACCTTTCAGTATCAATACTGAAAACCACAGTGGATGGGGGTTGGGGGGGGGTGATTGGAGGGAACCTGGGGACACTGGTATTAGGGAATGTACACTGGTGGAGGGAGGGTGATGGAATACTGTATGACTGAAATCCAATCATGAACAGCTTTGTAAAAAATAAATTAATTTAAAAAAAGAAATGAGCTTTACATTTAGCATAAGTTGTATCAACACATAACAATCACAAATCTAGATTTTAAATTCCTCCTGGTAATTACATTTGTAAGTAAAAATCTATTTTGGGGCCCGAGAGATAGTACAGGAGGTAAGGTTTCTGCTTTGCATGCAGATGCAATCCCCAGCACATATCATCTTCTGAGCACTGATATGGGTGATCTCTGAGCAGAGTCAGGAGTAAGCCCTGAGCACTTCTTGGGTTTGGTCCCAAATCCCCAAGCATTGCCTAATTTATTTATTTATTTATTTATTGCTTTTTGGGTCACACCTGGCAATGCACAGGAGTTACTCCTGGCTCTGCACTCAGGAATTACCCCTGGAAGTTCTCAGGGGACCATATGGGATGCTGGGAATCAAATCCGGGTCAGCCTCATGCAAGGCAAACTCCCTACCTGCTGTGCTATTGCTCCAGACCCCAATTTAATTTTTAATGACACATTTTTTTCCTTAGGTTTTTGGGTCACACCTGGTGATGCTCAGGGGTTACTCTTGATTCTGTGCTCAATAATCAGTCCTGGTAAGTTTGAGGGACCACATGGGATGCTGGGGATTGGACAAGAGTTGGCTGGGTACAAGGCAAGTGCCCTACCTGCTGTACGATTGTGGCCCTAATGAAACAATTTGGGGTTCTCAGTCTCTTTTCTGTTTCCACATGATTGACAGATCCATGAACAGTATTTTTCAATTGGGGATTTATCTTAAAAAAGCAAACAGGTGCTTATTGGCACTTTTAAGCAGGGGGATAGGACTTGCTAATAGAAAACATATAACCTTCAACCTCACAGTCACTGAAGCGAGCAGGTCCTGCAGTTGACATTTAGCGTGGGCAGTGATCTTAGAAGAATTACATGCACTGACTGCACCTGGTGTCGGGTCAGTGCCCAGAAAACACTGGCTCTGAAGAGCTTCAGTCTGACTACCAGACAGAAAGAATTATGTAACAATGCGGATCAGACCTACACAAGAAGCCCTCAAAATTGGCTGTTCAGTACAGATAATATCCAGAATATATTTGTGTTGTGTTTTGTTTTGGGCCCACACCTGGTATTGCTCAAGGTTTACTCCTGGCTCTGCAACCAGGAATTACTCCTGGCAGTATTTGGGGGAACCATATGGGATTCCAGGGACCAAATCCAAGGCTGCATGCAAGGCAAAGGTCCTACCAATTGTACTATGGCTCTGTCCCTAGGAATACATATGAAATACATATGCAGATAAATATATATATATATATATTATATATAGAGAGAGAGCTCTAACACTCATTATTTTTTCACAACTCAGAGTACTTTGGAAGAGAACACTATGAAGAGTAACATTCTGGTTTTCCCCTAAAATGCAAAAGAATCCAGAGAGAGAGAGAGAGAGAGAGAGAGAGAGAGAGAGAGAGAGAGAGAGAGAGAGAGAATGTGATCACTGGGCTTGCTTTGCTGCTAGTTGAAAAACTGGAGATAACAACTCAACTCCTCCCTCTTTGCTGGGCACAAGACTCTACAAACAAGAAGAAATGTAAAACAAACAGTTGCCTCAATGACTGGTGACTGAGGTTTCCCCATCTGTCTACGACACAGGAAAGGAGGTTCTGCAGAGTTGAGATGTGGGAAAATGATAAATAGCTCTAGCTTACACTGTTTGTAAGATAGAATTAGGCACTAATAATCTTCTTGTCAAAGTATCCCTAGAAATAGACACAGTGGGTCTCTGACCTTCCCACTGTGTCTACTAAAGGCTGTTACTGAAGCTTCACTTCTTCCCATTGCACTTAAGATACTGCACTTGCCCATCTCATCCTCTGATTCGCTGGCACTTTCTCGAGCACTTCTGTTGTCACTTCTGTCTTTCCCTGTTGCCTAACCATGACTGGCCTTGTCTTCAGTCCTGTTTCAATGCCCACACTATTGCTTTGACAGCTGTATGCTTTTCAGCCAGGCATCTCACTAGTATTTCTGTGTCTGCTGGAGATGCTCCTTTCTTTCTTCTTTTTTTAATTTTTATTAGTGAAACACCATGAGGTACAGTTGTAGACTTACGAATTTTTGTGCTTGGGTTTCAGTTATACAATGATCGAGTCCCCATCCCTCCACCAGTGCCCATTCTCCATGTGGACGCTCCTTTCACTACACGCCTCCTTAATACATCCACTAGTCTTGATGGTATCACCTTTACTACCCATTAAAGCATGATAATTATTTTTTCTGAATCCTGACTTTCTTGCTGAATAATGTCCTCTATCTTTCATATTTTTACAAGCTCTTAAAATAAGTACCCAGAATACTGTGAACATTAAATACTTGTTGAATATACTAATTGATTATGCTGGACATCCTAGTTCTTAGAAACTTCTCTTCCATTATTCTTGCCTGCTTGGGAGTGCCAGTCCATTCTGCATTCCTCTTTCCTTTCCTTCTTTGGAAAAAAACATGTTTCTATAATCTGTGGCATCAATGTGGAACACTCTGCACTGACTTTTAAGACACCCTCCTAGTTTGTCTCTACACCATTACATATATACTATCATTCTTTGCTCATTGGAAAGCTTTCTCAAAGTCATCAGCTCTTTCACTTTTCCCCCATATACTATTTTAATTCCAGGCTCAGTATTTTCCTGACCATCCATCATGGCCCATTTCCATTCTCTTTTACAAATATCTCTCTCACCATTTCTTCAAAATAGAGAACTGGGGAAGGGGAATGGGCAGAGAGATAGTACAGCAATAAGGTGCCTTGCTTTGCATGTGGCCTACCCAGGTTTGATTGTTGGTGGGGCCTTCTATGGTTCTTTCTGAGCCCTGCCAGGAGAGATCTCTGAATGCAGAGAATGGAGTAAGGCCTCAGCACTGCCAGGCATGGCCTCCAAACAAACAAACAAAAATCAGAGAGCTGGAAGTAATATTTGAAAAAAATAAGTCCTAGTATACTAAACCATAAATTTCAAATTACCCTTCTTTGGGTGAAAAAATAAATGCTACACCAAATACAATGCATATATGAGTCATAACGCAAAATGTGTAACAAACACCAATAAGCTCTTTACTCAAATTAGGAAAGAGAATATTGATAATGACAATGCACTTAAAATTTACTTGCCAAAAATAATATGTTCAGCATCAAAAGTTACCCTTTTGGTTTCTCTTGAAAAAGCAAAAGACAAGGCAACATTGGGTCTGAATTTCTCAACTGAAAGGGGGCAAAAACATGGATCTAGTTCTACCCTCCATTTGATATTGTTTTCACCCAGTTCTCTTGAATTATTTATGGTGTTTGCCTGGCCCCTGTGGTAAATTTTGAGTCTTGCACTGTGCCTTAAGACGACAAACGGTTCCACGCCTCTCTGCCAGGTAAGACATGGAGCTGTTCCACTTGGATGAACCTGAGTTGACTGGTAAAACTTAGGCTTTTCTATAGGGAGATGTTTGAGGCCCTGAGGCAGCACCATCTGGATGAAGAGAAACCAAAGTACCAAGTAAAATAGTTGCCCAATATGGGTTCAACTATAGAGAAAGAGACGACCGTCCGATTATTACTTGGGAAGACTGAGGCTTAATAATGTATTAGTATCAACTCCCACTATTGTAATTTCCACCAGGAATGTGCAGATGCTGCCCACTAGGGTCATGACTTTTCCCCCAAGTTTCAATATTTCTTTACAGAAAAACATTTTATGTCCTAGAGTTTTTCAAGCCCAAGCAAGGTGAAAATCCAGGTGCTACAGAATATATTATAAACATTTAAAGTGGTTTTAGAACATAATAAACTGAACTGAAAAACAATTTATACCATGTACAAAAGTTAGACTGCCAGGTGACGTAATGAGTTCTTTATTCATGCAAATGCTACACGCTCCATGTAACCCTTACTGCATTAATGAGGAAATGAAGGGAAACAGAAACTAAACCTTGTGCTGAAAAGTACAGAGAGTAGACTGCAATTGCCAACGGGGATTTCAGCACAAGATTCTGACCCTAAGGCCCATTCTTACTTTATATGATCTTTAAAATGTAAAGATAATTTGACATTAATCTTTCTTCAATTTCTTTTCTGAAGAAATTAAAATCTTTTCAAGTTTCACTTCTACTTTGATGTTACGTAACTCAAATTATCCTAAACCTAAGAAAAGAGTGTTAAAAAGAAAAACGAAACAAAGAAAGAAAGAAAGAAAGAAAGAAGGAAGAAGAGCTATTGAATTCTAAAGGTGTATTTTGATGTCAAATTTCTGGTGTCCTCTACTAGTATAGAACTATACTTGAGAGGAGACACGCCAGAAAGCCTAGGACACAGGCGGAAATTTGTGACTGGCTGTTACACACTCACTCAGAAGAAAAGTTCTCCAGCACACCATAGAAATTATTTGGGAAACTTACCTTTAAATTCAAAATGTAGGAATTCTGAATTAGAAAATAAAACAAGAGTGGCTGGAATGATAGTGCAGTGGGTAGGGAACTTGCTTTGCACATGGCCAACCCAGGTTT